AGCATTTTTTTATATGTTTGCTGGCCATTATTCTGTCTTCTTTTGAAAAGTTTCTGTTCATTTCGCTTGCCCATTTGTTGATGGGGTTGTTTGATCTTTTCTTGTTGATTTTTTTGAGTTCTAGATAGATTCTGGTTATCAGCCCTTTATCAGATGTATAGCATGCAAATATTTTCTCCAATTTTTTAGGGTGTCTATTCGCTCTATTGATTGTGCCCTTGGCTGTGCAAAAGCTTTTTAATTTAATCAGGTCCCATTTATTTATTTTTGTTGTTTCTCTGATTGCCATTGGAGTCTTCTTCATAAATTCTTTGCCTAGGCTGATATTATAAGAGCTTTTCCAACCTCTTCTTCTAAAATTCTTATAGTTTCATGCCTTATGTTTAAGTCTGTTATCCATCATGAATTAATTTTTGTGAGTGGTGAGAGGTGCAGATCCTGTTTTGATTTTCTATATGTAGCTATCCAATTTTCCCAGCACCATTTATTGAATAGGAATTCTTTTCCCCAGTGTATATTTTTGTCTGCTTTGTCAAAGATCAGATAGCTATATAAAAATGGTTTTATATCTGGGGGTTCTCTGTTCTGATCCATTGCTCCATGTCTCTGTCCTTGTGCCAGTACCATGCTGTTTTGGTTACTATAGCCTTCTAGTATAGCTTAAAATCTAGTAAAATGATGCCACCCAATTTATTCTTTTTGCTTAAGTTGCTTTGGCTATTTGGGGTCTTTTCTGGTTTCATATGAAGTGCAGAATTATTTTTTCTAGATCTTCAAAAAATGACATTGGTATTTTAATGGGAATTGCATTCAATCTGCAAATCACTAAAGATAACCTTTGAAAAGCAAAAGTTTTTAATTTGGATGAAGCCCAATTTATTGACTTTTTTCTTTTCTGGTTCATGCTTTTGCTGTAATATCTAAGAAATCTTTTTCTAACCCAAAATCACAAAGCATTTCTGTGTTTCTTTTAAATTTTTATAGTTTTAATTCTGTGTAATTCACTTTGGGTTAAGCTGTGTGTATGGTGTGAGGTAAGGGTCCAACTTTTTTTTCCCATGTATATCTAATTGTTCCAGCATTATTTGTTGAAAACACTGTCTGTTCTCCCATTGAATTAACCTAATATCTTTGCAGAAAATCAACTGACTAGAAATTTAAGAGTTTATTTCTGGATTTTATATTCTCACCCATTGATCTATCCATCTGCCCTTAGTCCAACACCATGCTATTTTGATAACTGTAGCTTATAGTAAGTTTTGAAATCAAGTAGTATGATTTCTCTAGCTTTCTTCTTCTTTTTCAAAATTTTTTGGCTATGCTAGGTCCTTTTGAATTCCCCTATTCCCTAGCCAAATTTTAGGATCAACTTATCATTTTCTGCAAAAAAAGCCTTCTGGGATTTTGATAGGAATTGCATTAAATCTATAGATCAATTTCAAGAGAATTGCCAACTTATCAATATTGGATCCTCCAATCCATGAAAATGATGTACCTGTCCATGATGTACCTTTCAGCAATGTTTTGCAGTTCCCAGTGTACAGGCCTCCTTCTGATAAATTTGTTTTATTCTTTTTGATACTATTGTGAACAAAACTGTTTTCTTAATTTCATTTGCAGATTGTTCATTGCTAAAATTTAGAAATATAACTGACTTTTGCATATTCATCTTGTATCCTGATGTCCTGTTGAATTCATTTATTAGCTCTAATAGTTATTTTTTTTGAGGGGGGTGGATTCCTTAGGTTGTTTGTACATACAAGAGCATGTCATCTACTAATAAAGACAGTTTTACTTCTTTCTTTCCAATCTATGCATCTTTGATATTTTTCACTTATCTTAATCCACTTGATAGAACCTCTAGTGTAATGTTAATAGATGTGGTAAGAACTAGCATTCTAATTCTTGACTTATTCCTGATCTTACAGGGGAAATAATTCACTCTTTCACCATTAATATGATGTTAGCTACAGGTTTTTCTTAGATGTCCTTTATCAGATTGAAGAAGTTGAATTCCATTCCTAGATTGTCGAGCATGTTTACCATGAAAGGGTGTTGGATGTTGTCAAATGCTTTTTCTGTGTCTATTGAGATGAACATGAGTTTAATATGGTGCATTTTAGGATGTTCAACCAACCTTGCCTTTCTGAGCTAAACCCCATTTGATTTTATATATATACACACATATATATATACTCCCTTTTATATATTGCTGGACTCATTTTGCTAACATTTTGTTAAGAATTCCAGCATAGTTGTTTAAGTTTAGTGGTCCTTTAAAGATGTTTTAAATATAAATAAGTCAAATTTAAATATCTTTTTTTCTATGGTTTGAGCTTTGTATGTCTTGAGAACCCTTCTCTACCTTGATGTCATAAATATTCTGTGCTGTTTTTTATTCCAAAAGCGTTATACGATAGACAGAATAGTGTTATAGAATATAGAAATAGTAGGTATGGTTAAATTTCAGTTGTAAACATATTTTAAATAAGATTTAAGTTTTTTCAATATGGATAAAATTCCCTAGCACCATTTATTAAATAGTACATTCTTTCCCAATGGATTTGCAATTCTACCTATGTCATGTATCTCATTTTCAAATATATGAGTGTTTCTGCACCCTCTATCCTGTTCCATTGATATGTTATTGATTTTTGGACCATTAAAAGATTGTCTTCATTAGTCTGGCTCTGTAATATTCCTTGCTATTTGGAAGGGCAAGGCTCCCTACATTGTTTTTCTTCACCAAATTTTCTTGGTTATTTTTGGCACTTTGTCCTTTCATATAATTTTTTTATTGATACATAATAAGTGTACATATTTATGTCATACATAGTGATATTTTGATACATGTAATATATAGTGATCAGGTCAGGTAATTAGTATATCCATCATCTCAAATATTTATCATTTCTTTATTCAATACCCTCCTTCTAGATATCTGAAACTATATGTTATTGTTAACTACAGTCATCTTACAGTGGTATAGAAGTCCATATAATTTTACAATCAAATTTACAAATCAAGTTGACAAATAATACAAAAAAATTCTGTTGTGATTTCCCTGGAATTCTGCTGAATTTGTAGATTAACCAAAGAATTGACTTCTTCATGATTATTGTCTTCCACTATGTCATTCAGTAATAATCATTTTCCTCCAAAAATGCAAATAATTTTTTACATTTATTTGTTAAGTACCATATGATTTTGTGGCTAGTGAAAAATCTGTTTTTTCCGTTACATTTACTTGAATTACTGGTGATTGTAGAAATACTCTTTTTCTGTGTGCCAGTCTTTTATACATAAACATTACTGAACTTGTTAGTTCCAAAAGTTGCTCCCAGATTTCTTGGATTTTCTATGTATGATCTTTAAACAAGGACAATCTTAGTCTTCCTCTTCAATTTTTATTCTCATTTTTTCTTGTCTTATTTCATTTTTTGTTTTATTTCATATTTTATTTCTTGTCTTATTTCAAGAGGCTCTCCAGTAAAATACTGAATAAAAGTGACAATAGCAGGCTTCCTTGTTTATTCTTCATTTTATTGGGAATGGAATACATCTAGGATTTTTAAAAAATACCATTCTCAGAAAATCCTTCATATTCCTAGTTTGCTAAGAGGATGTATTTAAGTATATGTGTGGGTGAGTTAAATATATCGTACTTACAGAGAAGCATATATAAAACACATTGTTCAAAAAGAACAAGAAATACATAAAACATATTAAAGAAGAAGAAAAAATTAATTTCAATGTACTCTCACCTTCTAGGTTAGGAATAGAATGCTCCTAAGACATTAGTCCTCTCTGGGCCCCTCACCAATCCCATTCCCTCCCTTACTTCCAGAGGTAACTGTTATCCTGAATTTTCTTTGAAGATAAACTTGAAGATAAACCAATGTGCTCATCTCTAAACAATATATTGTTTAATTTTTTAAAAACTGAGCAGTAAGCACAAACCTAGCTGTGAAAGACTGTCCATGTTAGATGAAGGCCCCTACGAGAAAAGAAGTTGAACAGAGTCTCTGGGTCTAGTCTGGCTTCAGGTTTCCTACAAGTTTACAAAAGCCTTCTGTGAAGAAGCCATGGAGTAGGATGATAAGTGAGTCCTAGAAAATAGAGTTCTCACCACAACTGTGACATTGGGCAGGACTGTGTTAATGGGCCAACTAATGTATGTCCAGGAAGAATACAGCCAGGATAGTGGGCTAATCTGTATTTTCTTACAGCACAATTACCTGCCTCCAGTTCTCAGTAGCGGGTCAAAGCAGAACACTTCTGAAGAATAAATGTCTCTTCAGCTGACCCAGGGCAATGAGTGTAGAACAGCAGTTTATCAGCACATGATGAAAGGAAGCAAGCACAGACAAGAATATGGACCAGGTTCACCCAGGCATTCTGTCTTCAAGTTAAAAAACAGTATAATGCATCAGGCACTTGGTGAGGGCGGCCAAAATGCATCTGTCTCTTGAGCCATGCCGGTTGCTCTCTATGCTTAGAACACAATTGTCATTGTGTAACCACCCTTCCTCATTCACCTGGGAATTCCCTTCACCTCTCTGCTGTGTTTTGTTCCTGTTCCCAATATTCCGCATCCATGTGTATCTTTGCTCCAGACCACTTCTCCTTCCTTAAAAAGGACGTTCTGCTTAAAGCTCTGCCCACTGGGGAGGAATTTCCCCCTTGCTGTCCTTTAAGGCCACTCCTGAGTGGGCTGTAGTGCAGTATTAGTCCATTTTCCGCTGACACCCACATATCAAGCCAAGTCACATAGACCAGGCCTGAGATTGTTTTATCCTTCCTACTTAACTGCTGTAGGGAACACCCCATTAGACCATAGATGTAAGCTGAGAAAGCAACGTTGGTGCAACACAGAAAGGTAGCTTAGATGGCATCTTGTTGTTTTGAATTTGCATTTTCCTGATTACCAGTGGAGGCAATATAGTTCTGGGAGAAAACTGTTTGGCTTTCTATATAAGGAAATGTCCAAAAATGTCCATGAAATTTTGGGTCACTATCATATCATATCCATAACTACTTAAGGGGCCAGTTTATATATACTTTATGTACGAGGAACATATGATTCAGATCTTCTACACACCATGTTCTACCAAACTAAGCTTACTCAATCTAATATAATGCTGAAAGTAAAATTAATGCTAAGGCTTATTTTAATTTTTTAACTTTTAAGGTTATGATAATAGAACCGTGATAAAAAATCCTTTTTACCCACACCAAAAAATGGAAAGAAATGTCTACATGTTATGTTTAAGAGGAAGGATAGAGAAAATGGGTTTTTAATGGAAAATTTTATCAAATAAACATATAAAAATAACTTTTGAAAAATCTATATGCTGTCAAACCCAGGAAGAAGCAGAAAGATCATTTACTAATTGTTATGACTCTAACGTTCCATTCATCTGAGATTTAGCATTCTTACTCTCTTCCTTCTTCAGTTGTTTTCCTGTGCTTTGATGGGGCAGGTCAGTCGTGGTGGGACTAGCAATGACAGGCTTAATGTGACGGGTCTGCTGTTGTCCCCAGTGAGCCACCCCTCTGCTGACCTCCAGGGTTAATTGGATCATACGGTTAATGGCTTGTTGAATATCATCCAAACTAGGAACCATTACCTGTAGAAAGAAGAAACGAGGGCATAATACTGCTAGCTCATACAATCCGTCCCTCCCATTCTTGCCACCCGCATGCCCCACCCAGCGAGTGGGGAAAGCCTCAGCTCGCCCAGCAGGAGGCTGCTTTGAGGAGAGGGATGTCAGAGGCAGATGGGCTGCAGACTTTCTCTACCCTGAGGTTTTCCTCTTCTACCAATTCCTGTGGGCAAAAAGTCAAACTTAGTGCTTGTCATCCTTTCCCATGAGGGTGGCTGGATACAGCAGAAAATTGTGGATCTCTGTGTGTTAGAGATCCATGGAGCAAAACAACTGAAGAAGCTGTACCACCAAGATTCTGACCTTGGTCCTTTGAAATGTGCCCAATAAGCTAAGAAGGTATCCTTAGGAGGTGAAACCATGTAAAGGTGGTGTTAAGTGAGTCACAGGTTATTCCTGTCTGGCCTTATCCTTTGGCCCAGCACAGAATACACCTCAGCCATCCTCTGGGCTTGGAGTCCCAGATGCCAGTGAGCGGCGGGGGTAGTTGCAGAGATAAGTGCCGTGGGAAGACACAGGGATTCACGATGCTTGGGACACAGGCTCGTTCTGCCTTTCTACTCTGCCGTCCTTGGTGGGCTGCCTCACAGTCATGTGTTTGGGGTAGGGATTTGGACATCCATGATGATTTTATTTAGATGATCTAATGTCTGAAGAAAAAGCAAGGCAACTTGTAGGATACTTGCTAACTGATGGCAGAACAGATGCTTAACACAACTCTCACACCAGTCCTCTAATACAGCATGAGCTATGCAGAGTGACTTTTTAATAACAGACAGAGATGACATTTTGATTTTTGTTAAGTCAAAAATCAAAAAGTGAGGGGAAATGAAAAAATACACAGGACCAAGACGTTACTGTAAATGAAAGTTCAGTTCCAATACCGTACTCCTTAAAAACATCACCAAAATATCATTGTGTTTAATAATACTTACCACATTAGGAATTGCAAGATGTACTTCAGTTTTTATAAAGGAAATAATATCTTCTGACCGCTTTCGTCCATGAAGGCTGTAATAAGATGGACATTTAGCTGATGAACTTTAACCTAAAATTTCATAAATGGTTTATTATGCTACAAGTTTCAGTCCCAAAAATAAAGACCATTTTTAAATACCAAGTTACACAAAGAGAGTATTACCTAGAATAGAACCATAAATTGCGGTGAACTAAGAAAACACAATGATACAATATTCCTAGAAGTAAAATAGTCTCATACACATTTGCTAGCATTTCAACGTTGCTCTCTCTCTGTCATAACTATTTAACAATGTTCACTAACAGCATTCTTTGTTTCTAGCCCTGTAGCAGGTGCAGGATGAGGTCACCAACAAAAAGCATATATCTTCGTATACATTTTTATATATGCTTTTTACAAGATTAAAAAGGAAGTTTCCAGTCAAAGCCATCCAAAAACCGCTTTTATATCACTCATGCACAAGACAGAAGCACAGATGTAAAGACATATGAGTCCAGTAAGAAAGGACACACACAGAGCTGCAAAGTGGTTTGTCTAGCTCTCTCTGCCTTGACCTCCATCCCGATCTCAGACAAAATTATAATAAATGTAAACTTTTCATTCTCTTTTTCTCTGGGAATGCAAAAAATGATATCATTGCTGAAAAACCACACTGCCTTTTACAATTAATACAACAAAAGTAGTAAGTAAAAGTAAGGAAGTAAAGGTACAAGCAGATAGGGGTACTGGGGAGGACCACAAGAAACATAAAGACACCACAGTTCAAAAGTGGAGACCCAACTTTTAGCACTCAGGGCCAATGGTACCCGGATAAACATATTATTGTAAGGAACTCTTCGAACTACAAGCAAGCAAGCAAACAAAATCCTCTAATTCATAGTCTCCCTGTGAAACTCGAAATGCAGCAATAAAATAAGTGTAGGCTGTAATACAAAGGGCACAATTTAAGAACAAGAAAGAGTTTCATAAAGTATAAACAAACAACTAAGCTATTAATAATAGAGGCAGTGAACAGCACACTAGATCATTCAGTACCTTATTCAGCAAATTAGAGGACCAGCTTAAGGTATTGTCCAAAATTTCAGATGCAAATTACAAAGAGATAGAAATTACTGAAGGAGAAAGTAAGAATAAATAACATTTATTGAATGCTTAATGTATGCCAGGCACTTTCCACGAAATACCATGGTTCACCCTGCCGTTAACTCTGTGAAGCAGACCCTGTGATGATGAGTTCCATATTGTAGATAAGGAAACCAAGGCAGGGAGAGGTTAAGCAACTTCCAGAGGGTCACTCAACTCAGAGACATTTTACTACGCAGATCCAGCATGTGAATCCTACATAGATGTGGTAAATTAAAGCATAGCATTCCTTTAATCTTAAGCATGGACCTGTTTTTCCATCTGGAAAAGATTCTCTGTGTGCCTGATGGGATTAATGGGGGAAAAAAGACCTACATCTAAACATGTAATTTATAAGTTCCAAGAATAAAAGAGAAATCCTGTAAGCATCAAAACAAGTTGTTACTTATTAATATAAAGAAAAATCAAATTAGCAGCAGAACTCTCATCTAAAAATTGAAACAGAAGAAGCCGATGGCAGGGCATTTATAGCATATGAAACAAAGGGATTGTGATCCAAGAACAAACTAGCATTTGTGTGTGAGGATAAGAGAAAGACATTTTAGACAAGTGAGGATTTTGAGCATTGTCCTCGTGTGTGCCTCTTCAAACACGACTTAAGTACCGCAGAACTTGTAAATCAACATGGCATGGTGAGTTCATGCTTCAAAAACACTTCTTTTTGTCAAACACATCACAATCATGGATACAAAGGACGTGAGAATGCTCAAACAAGAAAGGATCTCTGTGAATTAGAAATGGACCAGGAACACAAGGGCCGCCCGGCCAGGGTTCTGGTCTGGAGAGAGGCAGTGACAGTGGGGTGGCTGGCCCTTGTGGGACACAGGACCAACAGGACTCCATGCTGAACGGGGCTCAGCCAGGCTCACTACTCAAAGTCAGAACTAAGAGGATGCTCCCCATTTATGAAGAGGCAAAACAACAGTAAGACAAAATTTGTCAACCTACTGCCCACAGCTACAGTTTTTCCAGAAGATGTGGGCCTAGAGTAAAAGGTGCAAATCCACAGCTTCTCTGATAAGCAACCAAGTCAGACCACCTGTGTGTTCCCAGCTGACCCCGCCTCCTCCCAGCAGCCCTCCAGGGAGGTAATGTGAACAAATAAGACCTGGTTCTGAACTCAAGGTTCCAAGTGTCATTTGGGGGCAAAAGTGAAACTCCTAGATAGGAAAGGAGAGAAGGAGAAAGAAACACAAAAACAAAAAAAGCTCTTGCTCAAAGAGAGCCTACGCATTCAAATCCCAACATTTGTGAATAAGTCTAAGGGTAAAGAAGAGGGCTAAAGAAATAAAAAATTGAAAAAAAAAACTCACTTCAGATAAAAATTATTGTATAGAAGTATGACAAGTAAATTGAGAATGTTCAAAGAGATATGTGAAGGCTCTATCTTCCAAAAAAATAAAAAAATAAAGAAATTGCTAAACTACAAAGGTAGAAATGATACACTATCCGGAGGGTAAGGAAAAAAATATTGAAATATTGAAGGTGCAATAGATGACATAATCTTTAGAATAGATACGGAGACACTTACCTATAATGTAGAGAGGCAAAAAGATAAAATATATGACAAAGTAGTTAGGAGACAGGAGGGACAGACTGAGAGGCCCCAACACGTGAGATGACCACACATCCAGTGTGCCCAGGGACAGTTCCAGATTAACTCTGTCCTGGCACCTCATCTGGATAGTGTCCGTTCATACACAGAAGTGTCCTAGTTGGAACAATAATTTATGTCGTCACTCTATTCCACATTCAGTGGGAGTTCGAGAAGAAGACAAAGAAGGAATGTCCTAGAAGCAATAACTGAAGAGGAAATTGCTGAGGAATTAAGGGAAGCTATACGCCCTCAAACAGGAAGTGCGCTCTGAGAACAAAGCAGGATTAAATAAATACACACAACGTAAGAAAACTGCAGAAATATTAAGCATAAAAAAAGAATCTTCAGTTATATTCACACTGCAGATTTCTTATCCACAGCAACATAGGTCAGAAAAACATGAAGAAATACTTCCAAAGTGCCAAGAGACAATAAAATCTTCTTTTTTTGAGAGAGAGAGTCTGGCTTTGTCATCCTGTCTAGAGTGCAGTGGTTGATCATAGCTCACTGTAACCTCAAACTCCTGGGCCCCAGTGATCCCCCTGCCTCAGCCTCCCAAGTAGGTGGGAGGCCTGGCTAATTTTTCCATTTTTTGTAGAGACGAGGTCTCGCTCTTGCTCAGGCTGGTCTCCAACTCCTGGCCTCAAACAATCCTCCCACCTCTGTCTCCCAAAGTGCTAGGATTACAGGCGTGAGCCACCTCATCCAGCCAATAAAATCTTACATCCAGCCAAACTGTCATGAAAGTATGAGGGCAAAACATTTTCAGACTTAGAAAGAAAAATAAGAGAGTTTACCCCTCGCAAATCCTCACTAAGGATGCAAAAAATACAAGTGAACCTGGAAATTTAATTAAATATGCCAGAAAAGTACGGAAAACAGAATAAAAGGTGAAAATTATCCATCCCAAAGAAAACAGTGATAATAAAATGAATCAAAGAAAAAGGACAGCTAGTAAGAAGAAAACACAAAATAAAATGTCATAAATCAAGTGCAATTATATTTAAAAAATCACAGTAAGTGCAAACCGATTAAACTCACTGTTAAAAAGACATAATCAAATTGAATGAAAATAAGCAGGTATATGTTGCTTTTAAGAGGTAAAACTAAAAACTACAGAGAAAAGCTTAAATGAAAGGACTGAAAAAGTTATACAAAAAAGGCTTGGAAAGCAAAATTAATAACAAACTAAAAAGAATTTGAGGAATCAGGATTAATATATTACAGATAAAGAAGGTCGCCCAATAAAAATAAAAGGAACAGTATTCTTAAACATATTGAACTGCTATGACTTTGTTTATACCTAACAACACAGTCTTAAGACACATAAAAAAAGAACTGACCAAAACAGAAGGAAAATTTGACAAGCCTACAATCACACTTGGAGATTTTAACAGTACAATTAAATTAAAAATCAGCAATGAATAGCCAAGGAATAAATCTAACAAAAATGTGCAAAACCTTTACACAGAGAATCATAAAACTTCACTGAGAGATATTAAAGACTTCTATAAATGCAGAGGTAATACATAACACTCGATATTCATAAGGATGCTAACTCTCTCCACATTGATCTATGGATTCAATGCAACTTCACCACCACTTCCCCCCACAAAAAATAAGTTGACTTTTCAAAAACTTTTGCTTGGTCAACTCATTAACCATATGGCAAAAAAATATATTGCTCTCCTACCTCACACTAAGCATAAAAATCAATACTATAGAAATTAAATCCCTAAATTTAAAAGTCAAAACTATAAAATTTTTAGAAGACATTATGAAATAGGGAAGGGTTGATAAGGGTTGGTTTCCTCAAAAAGACATAAAAATCACAAATCACTAAGAAAAAGATTGATAAATTTGAATATTCTTAAAACTCAGCAAAGGAAAATAAAAATTAATAAAGAAAATAAAAAGATAAGGCAAAATTGAGAGAACATATTTGCTATATTATCATCAACAAAATAATAAACTAAGAATATTTATAAATTAATCCAATTAAATAGAAAACCAGGCCAAAGGAAAAAACCACAAATTTTAAGGAAGAGAAAGACAAATGGACCATAAACACATGAAAATATATCTAACCTTATCAGTAGCCAGTAAAATTAGAATTTAAATCTTAATGAGATGTCATTTCACACCCCCTATGTTGGCAAGAATGTTTTTTTATAATGCATTAATTTTATTGCATGAAAATTATATCTCAAAACTGTTTTTAAAAGGGTACATTCATTTTAAATGTTGGCATATATTACTGAATTGCCCTTCTTAAAGGTTACACCAATTAACATGATTACTATGCATGTATGAAATGTTTTCTTAAATTCTTAAAGAATTTGGTTCACATTAAACTTTCACTAGGTTAACATTTTAGGCTTAACTTTTATTCTGATCAGTGAGGATAAATATCTTTTCACATTGTTATAAATTGAATTGTGTCCCCCCAAAATTCACGTTAAAGCCCTAGCCCCTGATGGAACAGTATTTGGAGATGGGGTCTTTAATGAAGTAATTAAGGTTAAATGAAAGTCATAAGGGTGGGGGCCCTAATCAGGTAGGACTAGTGTCCTTACCAGAAGAGGAAAAGACACCAGAGATCTCTTTCTCTCCTATTGCACACAGAAGAAAGGCCATGTGAAAACACAAGGAAGTGGCCATCTGCAAGCCAGGAAGACAGCCCTCTCTACAAATCAACCCCACTGACAACTTATTTTTTTTATTTTTTTATTTTTTTATTTTAGCATCCACTGGCACCTTGACGTTAGAAGTAGAGCCTCCAGAACTGTAAGAAAATAAATTTCTGTTGTTTAAGCCACTCGGTCTATGGTTTTCTGTTATGACAGTCCAAGCCGATGAAAACACACATACTGAAAAGCCATTTTTTTGTCCCTTTTCTATGAACCATCTCTATATACCTTGCTCATTTTTCTTTTGGATTATTTTCCTCTCTTATAGATCTGTGGTACTTCTGTTTCATTAAGAAAATTAGCTTTTTCTGTGATATATGTTGAAAGTAAGTTTCCCCATGTCATCATTTGTCTTCTGGGGTTTTAGCATTTAAAAATTTTAATCACGTAAAAAAATTAATTTATCAATTTTTTCTATTATGGGTTCTGGGTTTTGTTTTATACTTAGATATCCATGTACTGAGGCTATTAACATTTTCTCCACATTATTTCTAGAACTTTTATGATTTCATTTTCTTTTTAATTTCAGAATATTATGGGGGTACAAATGTTTTGGTTATTTAACCAAGGAAATGAAAGATCTCTACAAAGAGAACTACAAATAACTGAGGAAGGAAATCGCAGAGGACGTTAACAAATGGAAAAATATATCATGCTCATGGATCAGCAGAATCAACATTGTTAAAACGTCCATATTACCCAAAGTGACTTACAGATTCCATGCAATCCCCAACAAAATATCAATGTTATTTTTCACAGGTCTAGAAAAAATAATTCTACGCTTCATTTAGAACCAGAAAAGAGCCCGGATAGCCAAAGCAACCTCAGGCAAAAGATACAAATTGGGAGGCATCACATTACCAGACTTCAGACTATACTATAAGGCTATACTAACCAAAACAGCATGGTACTGGCACAAAAATAGAAATATAGACCAATGACACAGAACAGAGAATCCAGATATAAAACCATCCACATATTGCCATCTGATTCTTAACAAAGAAGACAACAATATACACTAGATAGGAAAAAGAATCCCTATTCAATAATTGGTGCTGGGAAAATTAGATAGGCACATGCAGAAGATGGAAACAGGATCCATATCTCTCACCACTCACAAAAATTAATTCAAGATGGATAACAGACTTAAACCTAAGACATGAAACAATAAGAATTCTAGAAAAAATGTTGTAAAAACTGTTCCAGATATCGGCCTAGGCAAAGAATTTATGAAGAAGACCCCAATGGCAATCATAGCAACAAATAAAATTAATAAATGGGACTTCATTAAATTAAATAGCTTCTGCATGCCAAGGAAACAGAGCGAATAGACAACTTACAGAATAGCAGAAAATACTCGCATGATACACATGTGATAAAGGGCTAATGACCAGAATCTACAAAGAACTCAAGCAAATCAGGAAGAAAAAAATCAAACAACCCCCTTAAAAAGTAGGCAAAAGACATGCACAGAAGCTTTTCAAAAGAAGACAGACTAATGGCCATTAAACATATGAAAAAATGCTCAACATCACTAATCATCAGGGAAATGCAAATAAAAACCACAATGAGATATTACCTAACTCCAGTGAGAATTGCTTTTATCAAAAAGTCCCAAAACTATAGCTGCTAGGGTAGATGGAGAAACAAAGTACACTTACACACTGTTGGCGAGACTACAAACTAGCACAACCTCAATGGAGAATAGTATGGAGATTTCTCAAAGAACTAAAACTAGACCTACCATTTGATCCAGCAATCCCACTACTGGGTATTTACTCAAAGGAAAAAAAGTCATTTTATCAAAAAGATACTTGTACTTGAATTGAATGTTTCCTGCAGCACAATTCGCAATCTCAAAGATGTGGAATCAACCAAGTGCCCATCAATTCATGAGTAGATTAATAAAATGTGGTATATATATATACCACGGAGTACTACTCAGCCATGAAAAATGATGAATTAATACTTTTGGAGCAATCTGGATAGAACTGAAGACCATTCTCCTAAGTGAAGCATTACAAAAATGGAAAAACAAACACCACATGTACTCACTATTAAATTGGAATTAACTGATCAGCACTCATGTGCACAGATGGAAATAAAACTTAATGAAGTCAAGCAGGAGGGAGGAGGGAGGAGGGCATGGGTGAAATCATACCTAACAGGTACAATGTACACTATCTGGGTGATGGGCACACTTAAAACTTTGATTCAAGCAGTATAAAAGGCAAGAATTTTTTAATTTAATAATACTATTTGCAAGGATAAGGAGCCTTGGGCACTCTCATGTAAGGCACTGCCTGGTAAAATGAGGCATGCACATACCCACCCCAGGACCCGGTAAATCTAATCTCAGCAGGAGACAGGTACAAGAATGCTCACAGAGGCTTTATTCTTTATAGCCCAAACTGGAAATGACCCAAATGACCATCACCAGTAGAACAGACAAACAGATTATATATACTCCAACTACACAGAAGTGAAAATAAACTATAACACATAGATGAATTCCAAAAACATAATACTGAACACAGTTCAAATACAGGAAAAATTAACTGATACATTGATTTGGGACACAAAACTGTAAGGCAAACCAAGACAATGATAAACACAAAGTTCAGGATAGTGGTTATTTTTGGGTGAGCAGAGAGAGGACTCAGGCTGGGTGCTAGGAATATGGTTATTCATCTGACCGTGAGTCTTGCAGTATTATATAAATGTTTCATACAGTCTTTTAATGAATGCTATATTTTAAATTTTATAATTTTAAAAAATTAATAAATTAATAAAATAAGAGATGCTATTAGCATTATATTATTACAGGTAGCATTACCAGACATATTTATCATATTTTCAACTTGCCTTGCAACAAATACTCTTCTTTTCATTGTGTCCAAAGATAACCGTGTAGCTTTTTGAAGACTGTCTAGTAATTGATGAGAGAAAAAAGCATAGACCTCTTTACATTCCTGTAATAATAAATCATATTAAATGATTTTTTAAAAACCTCTAACATCCCCAAAGCAATGATACAATATTAGAAGTGACACGTGAAAAGTGAAAAATAATAAATTATACAATTTCAATATTGTAGAAATTCAATCCTAAATTAACCTGATTTTTTAGACAAGTAAAAATATATGAAAAATGTGCTTGCGTAAACACCCTAGCAAACCAGAAGGACTTATTCAAAAACAGCTTATTCAAAAGATCCTGGTTTGCTCGATACTGAATAACTCCCCCAACAGAAGTGAAGGACTTTGTGAGTGTGGCACATTTCTCAGCGCTTAAGGGAGTGGACACAAGAAAATGAACAGTCTCCACCCTTAAGAAGCTCAGTTCGGTGGACACATGTATTATAAAATACACAATACCCAAACATACAGGATGAAACTATGACTCTCTCCATACCCTTCCTTCCCTTGGGAGGAGTGGCCAAGCTTATTGGTCAGAGCACAGGCCAGGTATTGAGCCTGGCAGTCAGGGCTCTGGCCCACGTCTTGCTTGCACAGTGAGTCACACACCTGGGGCCAGGCTCTGGCCATACTGCAGCTCCCTGCTCTAAAACCCTGCCCCTCTGAGACTGGGTGGGTGAGGCAGGTTGAGCTGGGTCAGAGAGAGAGTTATCAGCCACGAACAAAGAAGAATACAGCTTTTCAGTGTGGCAAGGGGTACAGTTAGGGATGGTGAATTAGCAAGCTAAAGCACAGGTGTGACATGATCAGATTTTTCTGTTAGACAGACCCTTCCGGCAGCAATGTGGGAGGTGGATTTGAGAGACAGAAGCTCCTTAGGCGGTGACTGCATGAATGCAGCTCCAAGTGGTTCCCCAGTTGGAGAGGCTCTGATGGTACTCAGTCGTGCCCCAAGGACCCCAGCCAGTGTCAAACAGGAATGCAACTGGGAGACAAAGACTGCTGAGAGGGGAGCACACGTCCTCTTCCAGTTGACTCCCACTGGCTGCTAACAGCTGCCTGGTGCATGGCACCTAGAAGTCTAAGACTACAGCCCAGACTCCACAGAACAGTGTTTCGCAGGAGACTGGTGATATCAGCCTTGAGCAAGAAGCTGAAAGTGGAACAAATGTGTGCTGTTTATTTCCAAAACTGTATTAGAGTATGTAAAAGAGGGTAAAATAGAGAAAGAATGAAAAGAAGGTGGGTATGGGGGATTAAAAGAAAATTGACAGGAGGAAGAGAAAGCAGGAATTAGTGAGAGTGGGGGAGTAGCATTCAGAGTTCATACATGACAAGAAGGGTATGGCCTAACAAGGAAAACGAAACCTCATGCCTCTTTCTCAACCTTTATTCTCAACACATCTCAACACCATGTGAAATCTGCCCCTCTGAGGTTTCTGCTGGGGGAGAGTCCACAGGTCATCCATCTATCTGCTATTTTAAAAATGCAGATCCCTGGGCCCCAAGGGAGTCAGAATCTTGACTTGCAACACCAATAACTCTATTAGACACAATAACTGAGAACAAAGTTCTCCACTCTGAGTCAAACTGATCGGCACTGCGATTCCAGAAGTCACATTTGCTACAGAAGAAAACATCGTCAATCACAACAGGGGGAGATAACTACATAAATTGTAATCAACACAATCATATCAAAAGTTGGTGATATTGGGGAAAATTGTAAGGACTGTTGCATCTTGCCAGATCCTACAGTGTAAAATTGAAAATTATATTTTCTTAATTTTGTTATAAATTACACACAGATTAAGGTTGTAGAACTGCCTGAAAAATCACCATTTGGGGTTATGTATAATGCTATGAGTCATCATTCTTTGAATTGCATGAAATTGCTCCACAATAAATACCTTTCTAAACTCATCTTCTTTATCATTAGTATCGACCTCATTCACAATATTAGCCTCATAGTCAGTGCTTTCACCCTCTTCTGTTTCACTTCCAAAAACAACATGTTTCCGCTGTTCTACAGACAAAAGATAAAACAAAAATATAACATTTGATTTTTTAAGCATCAGGTTTATTCTATATGGCCAAATCTTCTTAGGAAGCTCCTTTGTTAAAAGCTCTTACTTTAAAAACTTTTTTTAAAAAAGTATTTTTTTTTTGCATTTTTTCCTGTAGGAGTCATCCTTGAATTCGATTTTAATCACCCATCTCAACGGATTCATCATTCTGCTAAGAAATATGCTCTGTAAATATACTTATACTCTGTCTCAGTATCTAGAATTAAGAAAAACTTTGAGTTCTACCTATTATCTTTCTAAAGTATGGGTCTACCTTTGGAGTTTTCTAACAATTAAATGATGTTCTTGTGTTTTTCACACTTGTTACTAGTTTAAGTGAAAAACTCTAAGAGGAAAGAAGACATGCTGTACATACTCATTTTAGGCCTGAAGCTTCTTATCCTCAGCACTCTTGACATTTTAGGCTGGATAATTCTTTGCTGTTGGGTCCTGTCCTGTAGGATGTTTAGCAGCATCCCTGGCCCTCATCCACTAGAAGCTAGTAGCAAACGCCTCGCTCCGCGTGACAACTAAAAATGTCTCCAGACATTGTCAAATGTGTCCTGGAGGGCAAAACCCCTCCCCACTCTCATTGAGAACCACTATTCTAGGCACAGATTCCTCTTTTTTTCTCCCTCCCTCCCTTCTCCTCCCTCCCCCTGCCTCTTCTTATAATGTCACTTTCATGGGATCTCTGCTTGACTGGAATGTTCTCCTCTCACTCAAAAAGCCAACTTCCCACAGAGTCCCTAGTTTAAATATGTTAGTAATTAGCTAATTAACCTCATCCCTGTTAGGTAGAGCTACCTCTTGGGTCTCTTTCAAAACTCTGGTGGCACATTCTGTGCTAGCATCACACCCTGGTGCAGTCAGTGGCTTGCCTTGCACAAAACCAGGCTCACACTGCTTCCCTGAGCAGGGAATGGTGGCAACAGCAGGTATTTGGGCAAACAGGAATCGTGATTGACAGACACATCCTCTTACACTCCTTACGATACTAAAAAGTAAAACCTCCAACTACAAATTCCTATCTAATCAGTTCTTATTTAGAGCTTGAAAAGAGAACTTGAAAATGAAATAAGTATTTCTCTTCAAATTTATCCAAAGATTCAAAATATCTAGGACATAATTTATATCTAGTCTTTCTAGATGTTAAAAGAGGCTGCCAGTGTGTAGAACTAGTAAACTAATATATTTTGTACATTTTTGTTTTTAAATTCCTAGGAAAGATTGTCTTCTGAAAATTTGAGCATTACAGCCCACTAGGTTGGTGGAGGAGGGAAGAGTTCTAGGCCAGAATGTCCATATTTCAAAGATACTTTCAAATTTAACTGTTACATGTGTGCAGTTTATTCAAGACTGCTGTGTATATAGTGGACAAATTAAATGCTTACCCGAAACATCTAGTCTACCTAGATGTTTAGAAGTGCCCGACATATGTTAAATGTAGAGGTGGTAAAATATCACTTTGTAAATATCTTTTTGCTAAAATTCACAGGATATACTGTCTTCTGGAAATAAAATTCTTAAACTACCTCTGTGAGCAGTATAGTACCATCTATACTCGTTCAATGGTTTGGAGGAGGTGGGAGGGAAGGAATTGCAAAAGGTAATATGCTAGTGTGTTCACACTTGGACATTTTCAGATATCAGTTTTCTTATGTTTTATGCATTTTGTTTTGCTATGTGTATACAATGTATATAATGGACAAATGAGTCCTACTTTTGCAATATCTAGTCTCTAGATGTTAAAGAGGTTGCCAGTGTATGACAAAGTATTTAGTAAAAGTAACACATTTTGTGTACTTTGTGTTGAAATTCATAGGAAAGCGTGTCCTCTGTAAATGACTTTTGGATATGAATTTTTTTAACCATTTCTAAGCATTACTCATGTCCGTACTTGGCCACTAGATATAAGGCAGAGAGAAGGAAATGTGCAGGGAATGGTTCAAGGTCAAAATGGTCATATTTAGACGATACTTCAGATTCTAACCATTGCTATGTGTGTGCAATTTTATTTAACAGTGCTGTGTACATAGTGGTTAAGTTCTTATATGAAATATCTGGTCTTTCTAGATATTTAGAAGTGCTTAATGTATTTAAAAGTGAGTGCGATGCACACCATCTGGGGGATGGACACGCTTGAAGCTCTGACCCGGAGGGAGGGAGGGGGGGACAAGGGCAACATATGTAGCCTAAACATTTGTACCCCCATAATATGCTGAAATAATAAAAAAATAAAACAAAAAAGAGTAGAAGTAGTACAATAACACTTTGTAAATAGCTTTTAAAAACTGATGGAAATATTGTGTTTGGAAGTGGAATTGTTAAACCACCTCTGTGAACAGTATACTCTTTGTACTTGTTCATGGGTTGAAGGAGGTGGGAGGGAAGAAATTGCAAAAAGTGTTTTGCTTGTGTGTACTAGAAAATTTCAGCTTATCTGTTGCCCTATATAGTATGTGCATTTCATTTAACTTTGCTGTATTGTATATATTGTATATATACCGGACAAATAAGTCCCAATTTTACAATATCTAGTCACTAGATATTAAAGAGGTTGCCAATGTATTACAAAAAAAAAAAATAGCCAGGACAGGACAATCTAAGCAAAACCAAAATTCCCATGTTCTTAAACCACAACCTAGGAAGCAGGAAGCAAAATACTCATCCACTAGGGAATCTTTTCTTAAAATTCCCTGCCCTTGATAAAGAGGTTTCAAATTTAATAGTTTATCTCTTGGGCTTATTAATATGTATTTACTGGAATTATTAGAACCTATTAGGAGAACGGGAAATTGAGCAGGGTCAAATTATTTTAACCACTTAAAATAATGCAAGCACCTTGTCATACAGATCTGCCTAAACAGACTTCGTAAAGTGAGGACATTTCTCATATTCCCAAACAAACTGAATGAGGATGATGAGAGCTTGAGCAGAATCAAAAGTGACAGTTAGATACAGAGCCTTTTAGGTCATTGTTTAGTTGGGAGTAGGGGACCGGATGGTGGGGACCACGTGCTGTGGTGTTCTCTTTGCTTCCTTGGGAGCACACTCTTCAACTAGGTACCATTTAGCTGCGCCCAGAGCCCCCGAAACAGTTCTAAGTGGTAACGCATTGGACGTTCTATATAGAAAAGGGTCTGGGGAAAAAATGTCTTAAAACACAGTCTCACCCAAATTACAGTTTCCAGATTAAAGAAAATTGTAGAATTTACTTTTGTCTCATTTGCTTTTCTCAAAAAGAAAAAAAAAAAGGTAAAATAAATCGAATAGTCAAAGTGACTTGATTAGAATGCTGAATAACAATAACAACAAAATTACCATAACAGGCCTAAGACTGGTATCCATAGACAGCGCTGCTTTAAAGATGGCTCTTGGTTGGGAACCTGGATTTCAGAAGGGCTCCCACCATTCCCTGACTGACAGAAAGAGCTCTCTGGGCTTAAGCTGTCTGTACAAACAATGTGGTTTCTGCTGAACACCTGCTTTTCTTCTGGGAGTCTGGAATTTGGCAACTGCTAAGCAGAACGTGCCTACATGAGGACACATCTGTGGAGCTTGTGATTCAAACATTATAACAAGTGAAATTACCTGTTTTCCCCGTGTACTTAACTTCATAAATTTTTTCAAATATTAATATAAGTTCTTTGACAGCTTCTTCCACATGCTTACTTTTGTGGTTTAGAACATCAGCCCATTCTTTTGTGTATGTCTATTAAATAAAGAAATGACTATTCAATTCCAGATACTTAAAAATACCATGAAAATTATTAATACAACTTTAATTTATAAAACTATAATTAACTTCACTTGAAAAAAAAATTAGAGATAGTTGCCATTGGTACAGTATTTCAGATCCAAAATTGTCAATGGCTAAAAGCATAGCTGCTAAGGCCAAAGCAAAGAATAGGAGAAAGAAGAAAAACCCCAAGTCTTTAGGCTGTGTCTGACTCGATCACACATAGAGCTCTGCCTTCACATTCATATGGGTGGGGGGAAAAACGCTGAGGGGGAGCAGAAAGATGACGTCAAAAGTTGAAAATGAGACATTGTTTTTAGGACAATCCAAAGTGTTGCTTTGAGAGTTAAATGAGATAAGGGTTTTTTGAGCATAGTTTTGTATGCCAGGCATCAATTTAAGTGCTTTACATGTGTTAACTCACTTAATTAAACAAAAAACTCTTGAGATAGGTAATATCATTGTCCCCAGTTCACAGAAGAGAAAACCAAGGCTCAGAAAAAAGGAATTTGCCCAGGTCACACAGGAGTTGGAAAGAATTCAGATCTGAAACCAGTTTTGTCTGATTCTAAAACCCTGTATTTTGTCTTTCTGAACTCTTCTAATAGTCAGAAAAGGCTTAAAAAAGAAGCTGAGAACCAGTCAAAGTCAGAAAAGATAACTGGTTTATAAAACTGAGTAAGTCTTTGGACATGCCCACAACATCCATGCACTTCAGGAAAGAGAAAAGCAAACAGGAGCAGCCATGATGGCTTCAAGAATACAGCTGTGGAGGATCTCACATCTGTCTACGCAAACTTCTCTCCTGATAAGCTTTGGGAGGACCCATATTCCCCAGGTTCTGTCCAACACGTTCCTTTCTTGACCTTCTCATCTGTATCTGAACCCATTCTCATCTTTTTTCAGTCTCAGGGGAAATGGTGTTCCTCCTCCTACCCACAGACATTCTCTAATCCTGTCCACCCCACCAACTCTTCTGACCTTGCTCCATTATTCATTCATTTCGTCTTTTTCAATTTATGCAACGCAGTGCTAATCTTTAGAATGGCAATAGGGGCTGGGAGCCACTCAAGTCTAGCAGGGAAAATGGGTGTTAAACAAGTAGACCATTCCAGCAGGTCATGGCAGACTTGATACATGTGTTTAATACACACCCCTGCTTTGAAATCCCTTAAGAAAGGAACCAGACACTGCTAGTTAGATTTGGCAGATTGAACACACACGTTTATCTTGGCATTCCCCTGATATCCCCAGAAACCTCAATAAAATAACATACAGTAATCTTTTAAAAAGAACATATGCACCAGGATGAATGGAAGAATGCCACATAAATTCTCCTATATGCTTCCAATACTGTATAATAAAAAGTTAATGGGACTCAACAACTAGTGCTGGAACAACTGAATATCCACTTGCAAAAGAATAAAATTGGACCCTCTCCTTGTACCATACAAAGAAATTAACTCAAAATGGATCACAGACCCAAATTTAAGAGCTAAAACTAAAAAAACTCTTAAAAGAAATATAGGCATAAATCTTCATGACCTTGGATTAGGCAAAGTGTTCTTATATACGACACTGAAAGCAGAGCAACAAAAGAAAAATTTAATAAACTAGATTTCATCAAAATTAACAACTTTTGTGCTTTAAAGAACACCATCAAGAAAGTGAAAAGGCAACCCACGGAATAAAATTTTTGTAAACCATATATTTGATAACGGACTGCTATCTATTAAAAAAAACTATCACAACTCAAAAATATAAAGACAAATACCCCATTTAAAAGTGAGCAAACAATTTGAATAGATATCTCTGAAGGAATGTATATGAAAGGTTAGTAAGTACATAAAATGATGTTCAACATTACTAGCCATTAGGGAAATGCAAATCAAAACTACAATACCCCATTTAAAAGTGAGCAAACAATTTGAATAGATATTTCTGAAGGAATGTATATGAAAGGTTAGTAAGTACATAAAATGACGTTCAACATTACTAGCCATTAGGGAAATGCAAATCAAAACTACAATGAGATACCACTTCACACACACTAGGATGGTATAATGAACAAGTGTTGGCAAGGATGTAGAGAAATTGGAACCTCATACACTGCTAGTGGGAATGATACAGCCACTTTGGAAAACAGTCTCAGTGTTCTTCAAAGGGTACAACATGGAGTTAACATATGAGCAAAGTCTGAAAGGGAGCCAGATGGCCAAGGAGAAACATAGCTTACAGTCCCAGCCCCAGGACCACAGAATAGAAGGAACAATTTGAAACTAAAAGAAGAAAGCTTTTTAATAATTAACATAATCTATCCTAAAACCACCCTTAGATGCTCCAAGACAAGGAATGTTGCCCTGACCACAAGCAGCCCTGATTCCCAAATATGGTCTGAAACTACTGTTTGGCCCAAATGAACCTTGTCCCCCCAGATTAGAGGCTTATCTGACTTGGCTTCACTGTAATGGCCTACCTAATGGTAGGTTTGTAGGAAGGTAGCCCAACTGTTACTAGACCTTACGTCACTCCAGGGCAAGAGTCTGGGGCACACTGGTTGGCAAAAGTGCTCTTCAGAATTCTGCCTCCTGCATCTTGACTTGCAGTACTGAGACTTAGCACCACCACTGGAGAATCATTATATGATAGGTACAGAATTTCAGTTTGGAATAATGAAAAGGTTTTGTACAGAGATAATGGTGATGGTTACACAACACTGTGAATATACTTAATGCCAGTGAATTGTACATTTAATATGGTTAATATGGTAAATTTTATGTTAGCATATTTTACCACAATAAAAAAGTTGGAAGCCAGAAATAATCAGTGGGGGTGATGGGGATGATTTTAACACTTAAGAGACATAGCAATCAAATGTAATACGTGAACCCATCTGGCCCCTAATTCAAATAGACAAACTCTAAAAAGATAGTTTCTACTAAAGCTAAATATATTCATAATCTATGACTCAGAAACCTCACTTCTGAGTATATACCCACCAAAATTAGTACTTAAGTCCACAAAAAAATCATGTACAAGAATGCTCAGTGTACAACCAAAAGCTATAAACTATCCAAATGCCCTCAACACGGTAGAGTGGATAAATTGTAATAAATGTATACAATGGAATGCTATACAGCAAGGGAATGAAGAACTAATGCTTCACATGACTACACAGATGAATTTCAGAACTGTAACACTGAGCAAAAGAAATCAGACATAAACACTATATACTGTATGATTCCATTGATATGAAATTCAAAAACAGACAAAACTAATATACAGCGAGAGAATTCAAATGGTGATTACTTCTGGGGATATGAGGGAGGTGTCATTGCCCGGAATGGACCACAGAGGAGTCATCTGGAGTAAAGAAAGTATTCTATATCTTGCTCTTGGAGATAGTACAAGGGCGTATCACACGTAAACATTCATCGAATGGTGCACTTAAGACTTGCACACTTTTCTGTATATATGCCATACCTTAATTAAAAACAAAAACAAAAAGCATGGACCTAAAATGAAAAATAAGCTGAAACCACAGTTTCTATTGGGGCTTTTTTGTTCCCCCCATAATCAAAAAACCAAATAAGGCTTTGGATTCCTCATAAGGGTGGGAGGCCAGAACTAACATCTACCCCATCCTCATCCCCCACATAACATCAGGCAAATCAAAGGCAATGCCCTCAGGGAAAGGGTGGGCTAGAAAAGGAAAGGTAGCTATCTTGGTTGAGGCTCTGGGCTGGGGGAACAAATTCTCCCTTGGGAATTCACAAACACTAGCTTACTCTCACACAGGTTTGGGGCTTGAGTTCATACAACCTGCATAGTTTTGGAAATTCTATCCACTGAAAAACTAACATAAAGTTGTCCCAAGTTGGTGAAGCTCGTAGGCACCACACAGGGAAGGATAAAAAGAGACAGGTTCTCAACCAAGGTTGTCCAGGACTCCCACAAATGCACGTATGTGTGTTAGCTCACAGTCCAACATGTAAAACACATCGAGAAACAAGCCACTCTGAGCAAGAGTTGGCAGAAATAGCAAAGAGCAGAATAAGCTAAAATTACCAGTTTAAAAAAAAAACAGAGATTTTCAAAGTAGATTAAAAACAAGATACAGCTAAATATTCTTCATAAGAGAAAAACCTAAAATAAGAGAAGCTAAAAAGGTTGAAAATGATAAAATGGAAAAATATACAACTGAAAAATAATAACCTAAAAAAGCTGGTATAATACATTAATATCAAACAAAATAGGATAAAAAGCTTACTTCATAATGACAAAAGGAACAAATGCCCAAGAAGATATAACCATCTTAAACTTGAATGCACCAAGAACAGGATATTAAAATGGGTTATTTAGTGTTGTCTCAGCTGCAGCCAAGGCCCCAAACTGAGAATAAATAATTTTAAGATCATATATGTTATGAAGAAGGCAGTTCTTACCAAGGAAGAGGTGAGGCAGCTCTCAGCCCACTGCTCACCTTCAGGTTACAGAAGGGAAGTTTCCTCATTCATTGGCAGATTCAGTAGAGATAAACATGGGGAACCTCCCTCTAGAATTTGGGCGTAGAGGGCTGACCCATGCCTGAGCAGTCCTGAGGCAAGAGGCTGGCTAGCTACCCTCACCCCTGCAGGCAAGAAGAGGTGTCCTGGGGAGAAGAGGCTGCACTTCCACAGAAAGGGGCAAACACACCTGTTTCCCATGGGCCAGACTGGACCCCTGGAAATGGACCCATCTGTGGTTGTCTTGAAAAGGATGCTAGCAAGGTGACCCAAACCAGCAGAATGGGTGGAATGGAAGCACAGGCAGGCAAGACAGAACAAAGCGTTCAGTTCAAGACACAAATTCAGTGCTTTTGAGAAAGATTGTATTATGTGCCAGGCCTCGAAAATGACTGACAGGGTTCCTGTCTTTGTACTTTCCAGTCCATGGAGGATAAATAGGTATCCAAATAATTTCAATATAAAGCAATGCTAAGGAGGTTAGATTTTGTCCTGTAAGGACCAGGTGCCTCTGCCACTGAATGACTTAAGCTGGACAGTTTCACAATCAGATCTGATGGCAATGTGGGTGGATATGATGGGGCCAAATACAGAGGCACAGAGACCAGTTAGATCACATTGATTGCTAAACTCAAAGTAAGCATTAAGGGCCTGACCAACAACATGATAATAGGCATGAAAAGAAGAGGCAACTCAAGCAAAATCTGAGTAACAGGCAAAACCCGGCTAAGCCTTAAGACTGGCTGGATTTAGGAAACAGCAGTGAGGGAAGGAGTCCAGATGAGTCCCTAGGTTTCTGAGTCACTTAGAGGGAAAGCATTTTGTAGTTAAAACCACAAGAAAGATGATATGGCCCTGGTAGTACTCGAAGACGAAGAAGAGCCGTGAACCAGTGACAGAGCCCCAGGGAACTCCAGCATTAGGTTGAGGACATCAGTAAGATAACATCTGGGGTGTGGCCGTGGGTTTGAACTGTTGAAGCCATGCAAGCCTTTGGAGCAGAAGATATCCAAAAAAAGCTAGGATGTCTAAATGCTACTGACCCAGATTTCTACTGTTAGATTACCAATTCACATTTTAGGTTTACAAGCCAGTATTTCTGTGATTACAATATAATAAATAAATGCATACCTCATTGAGGGTCAGCATATCTTCTACCTTGGTAGCACCAGTTTCAGGCAGGGAAATTAACACAGTTTTGGCTATCTCCTTTAGAACCGTATCAATATGCATTTCACACAAGTCATTGATCTACCAACAAAGAAAAAAATGTGAAAAAAAACTCTCCATCATATCTAGCTTTTCATCCAAAATGTGCTTGTGTTATAAATTAATTTAGCGGGCTAAATCTGGAAATCTGCATCCTGAGCCAAGCATAATCTGGTGAAAATTTTAGGAGTACATCTGCAAAGAAAGCTTGACGTGGAACTAAATTTTTGTTGAGCAGCAACATGTACCATACCCTCGTATGTGATATCCTCTTTCATACTCATTCCAACACATGAGACATTGACGCCCCAAGCTTTCCAGCTAAAGATACCAAGGCTCGGAGAAGTAAAGTGAGCTGGGGAGGAACACAGAGCTAGTAAAAGGCAGAGAATCCCACACTCAGGTGTATCTGACTCCAAAGCCCTGAGTTTGTCTATCACACTCTGCTGCCATGACAGACTAACACATCTAAAAAGATACACATGTTCTGTGCAGCAACCATGTCGGAAATCAATAGACAAGTCTCCAATTAAATGATCGCCTCATCTAGTTAATATTAGATGCATTAATATTAATTAACATTTAAGCACTCCACTCTGCCATCTTCAACAGTCTCCAATCATCCCATTTTCTAAACTACAGTGTGAGGTAGAGCTACCATTTAAACATACTAAAGGCAAGGTGATTCAGGGATAAGAACCAGGCAACCTTAGACGAAGATCCCAAAGCAGTAAAAGAAACAGAAGGCATTATTTTTTTAAAATTGATAATCCTGTTAGTGAAAAGTCATACCCTCTAAAGAGCTTCCATAGATAATCAAACTATTTCTTACATTCTGAGTATTAATGCATGTAGCCTTTTTTATTTATCGATCATACCTTCTTTAAAAGTTGACTGAACATATCCAAAACCGATTCAACTTCTTGAAAGAAGCTTTCCAGTGTTAAGGATGACCACGTCAATATCGTGAGCCCTTGCCTCAGCACGCATTCCACCTACAGAAAGTAAAAACACAGCAGCCTCCACTATTAACGGGAGCATCTGCGTTTATAGAAAAGGCTTTCCTTTACTACCTGCAAAGTTTATACGTTATATTTTCTTAGTTTTATTTTCCCTCCATTATGCCTAATAAAAATGACTTTTTATTTTTAATCATGGTTCATTGCCCAGGAAACAATCATGGATTTTTAGAAAATGCTCATGATTTAGATTGAGTTGTTTTTCAAAGGCAATAAAACTGAGACAAGAAATTCTGTAAGGAAAAAAACAGAGCTATAAAGTAGAACTAGAAAGATAGAGGGTCTAGGCAAGAATAGATGGTCTAAAATCCATAATTTATAGAACTAAAATCTAATTTTAAATAACAGGGAAATCAATATAAATCGTCAGCATTACCAACCTTTTTCATTTTAGGGGTCATCAGATTGACAAACACAGAAGGCACTTCCTGACATAACTCATCGTAATACTGCAGAAGACCCTGTAAAAGTTGAAATGGCATATTTTAATTCATTTTAAAGCAACAGTCACATTTTGATTCATACCAGGAATTACACCTGTTTCTTCACAGTCCTGCCATCACGGGGGCTGCTCATTTAAATTTATACTGATTTCCCCACCTATAAATTACCTGTGCTTCCCCTTTAAATAAGACAATAGAGCTTTCTAGATTTTCATTTTTCATATTTATTATTTGTCTTTCTAGATTTATGTTATTAGAAATGGTTTAGATAATTGTCTTTTTGTGATATCTGTCATTACACATTTTCTCCTTTCTGTTCCTTGTCTTCTGGCACATTAAAACTACTAATCACGGATGCCACACTTGCTTTCTCAAATCAAAATAAATTTAGCTTCTCCATACAACCAGAATTAATAAGCTTTTATGTTTCCTTTTAGATATATTTTAGACATGATCTATGATGATCCAACATTGACCATTTTGTAATTTACTATACTATATGGTAGGAGATGTGGATTCAAGTTACTTCTTCCCCAAATTAATAATATTAAACTGTTTCAATTTTCACATAATAGTTTCAAAGTTCTTGATTCCTTTCCTTTTTATCTGTTACTTATAGTTGAAGTTTTATTTATACTTGACACTTGGCAAAGAACCTTGACTTTCACAATATCATTCAATGCTAACTAAAAGCCTTTAAAATGCAATGCAATGAGATTAGCTTCAATTTGTAACAGTACTTTGACACTCGATCCTCCAAAGTCACAACTAGGCAGTACAAAAACCTATGACTTTTGATGCTGAATCTACAATTTCCATAATGTCAATGCTCCTCTGGGTTTTTTTAAATATAACAATTAAATATTATTTGGTAAGACCTAAAACTATTAAACTCTTAGAACAAAACATAGGCATAAACCTTCATGACCTTGGATGGGAAAAGATTTCTCAGATATGACACCAAAAACACAAAAGACAAAAGAAAAAGTAGACAAACTTCATGAATATGTAAAATGTTTGTGCTTCAAAGGACACAATCAAGAAAGTGAAAAAACAAACCACAGAATGGGAGAAAGTTTTTGCAAATCATGTACCTGATAAAAGACAAGTATTTAGAAGATATAAAGAACTATTAAAGGTGACTGGGTGCAGTGGCTCATGCCTGTAATCCCAGAGGTCAAGGTGGGAGGATCGCTTGAGGCCAGGAGTTCAAGGCCAGCCTGGCCAACATGGTGAGACCCAGTCTCTAGAAAAAAATAAAATAAAAAATTAGCTGGGTGTGTGGCACATGTCAGTAGTCCCAGCTACTCATGAGGCTGAGGCAGGAGGATCACTTTAGCCCAGGAGTTTGAAGTTGCAATGAGCTATGATCACAGCACTGCACTCCAACCTGGGTGACACAGCAAGACCCTGTCTCTAAAAAAAATTAAA